TTGTCATGCTGCCATACTCGGCCTTGGTTTCAGCAGTCCATATCATATACCGGCGCAAGTCTGACGGCTTCCTCTTGAGGATGGCTAGATTGTTGGTTGCTGTTCATGGTTAACTACCGATCACTTGCGTTTTGTTATCTTCTTTTTCTTATGGGATGTATAGAAGATAGACTTACCGATGATCTCCTTGAGTTCGTCCCAGTAATGGTACTGATACTCTTCATCTGTCAAAGACAAGACATACCTATCCGTATCGGTGAGTGGAAACGGCGCCTCCTCCACCTCGACGTTATTGGCGTTATCTCCATTGTCTCCCATCGTGCCGGTCCCAACCTTGAACCTCAACTGAGTTGCCCTTGTGTTGCATGAAGCTAAGCCGAAGGGAGTGAGGGCTGTCAGTCGGGGACAAAAAATAGGGCCGGACAAGATCCAGTGCTTCTCAGTGACAATACGTTGCACAACCGGGCGTAGAAGATGCGAAATCGGCATGATATGGCAAGGTACATTACCTTACCTTACCTTATGTACCTTACATTGATTCAAATGATGTGGATGATGCGCGCTGACGCCGTGGAGTCTGATTTGACCAATGAGCGACCGAGGGCCGCACTTTTCACCGCCCACCGTTTCTGAGATCTCCCAGGATTGAAATGCCGGTGCACGGCAGGAAACGGGATGAGCGGCGGGATCTAGAAAAATATCGGCCCACTTCGGTCCCTCAACAAGTCGAACTTCTCATCTCAGTCGGGACCCGATGCGGAGGAACCCCTTGAGCTCTAGGTCCGATTCTTGCTTTTTTTAAGAAGCTTCTCAAACACGGAGGGGTATCATTGACGGCGACGCTTACTCCCATTCTTGACAATTCGGAGCTGTCGAGCTCAAACAACGGCGATCAACATGTCCGAGCCAATGCTCTCCAAGAAAATGTTTGATGGGATATACATACCCGCCGGTCTGCTCGTTGTCGGCACCGTCATTGTGAAGAGGGAGTGGACGCCGTGGGCCGTCCTTCTTGCCGTTATTCTGGGTGCAATTAAGGCATACAGAGTCCGTAAGTATAAAGCTTTTCAAAAAGGATCGGCTCTCCTGCGCACTGGCGAGACTAACACACCCTCCCACGCAGAACCGAAGAAGGTGCTCAAGCCCGACGTCTTCCAGGAGTTCGAGCTCAAGGAAAAGACCGTCATCTCCCACAATGTCGCCATCTACCGCTTCAACCTGCCCACCCCGAACTCGATCCTCGGCCTCCCAATCGGCCAGCACATCTCCATCGGCGCCGCCATCATGCAACCAGACGGTAGCGCCAAGGAGATCGTGCGCTCCTACACCCCGATCAGCGGCGACCACCAGCCGGGCTATTTCGACCTGCTCATCAAGTCGTACCCCACCGGCAACATCAGCAAGCACATGGCCGGCCTCGCCGTGGGGCAGACAATCCGCGTCAAGGGCCCCAAGGGTGCCTTCGTCTACAAGCCCAACATGGTGCGCCACTTTGGCATGATTGCTGGCGGTACCGGCATCACGCCCATGCTGCAGGTTATCCGCGCTATCATCCGCGGACGTGCGGCGGGCGATCGGACCCAGGTCGACCTCATCTTTGCCAACGTCACGCCCCAGGATATCCTGCTCAAGGAGGACTTGGATGCGCTCGCGGCCGAGGACAAGGGCTTCCGGGTACACTATGTGCTGGACAAGCCGCCCGCGGACTGGACTGGTGGTGTCGGTTATGTCACTGGAGATATGATTACGGTATGCTCACCTACTGTCACCGTTTTATGTTGGACTGCTGTGGCTAACGTTTATCCAGAAATGGCTTCCCAAGCCTGCTCACGATGTCAAGATCCTCATCTGCGGACCGCCTCCTATGGTCAGCGGTTTGAAGAAGACTACCGAGGCGCTCGGCTTCCAAAAGGCACGGCCCGTCAGTAAGCTTGACGACCAGGTGTTTGCCTTCTAAGCGAGCATGTGCCATGTGCGCTTGTAATAGATTAGCTGTAAGGTGTCGAGATGATACATGGTGGTCTCGTCACCCATCAGTAGACCGGTCTCCGTCCTACAACAGGCTTCAAAGACCTCCTGTTGGGCACAGTGTTTCCAAGAACAATAGACTTGATTCAAGGAATGAGTCAGTACTAGCCCTTGACCACTGGCAATAACATCGGCTCCTGGCTGGGTTCATGGTGTGCTGTGAAGTCCAGTAACTCATATCTCACTTCTATTCAGCCCACATTGCTCTCGCCTGGCCTCGATGACTTATGCACAAGGTGATGAACGCCTTAAAACTCAATACCTATCTATATTGGCATTTTCAAGACCATATTCCTTTCGTGGTCCCGTACTGGATCGCCTACATACATGTACGGTATTCTTACAAAGGGGAGTCTAAAGGGTTCCTGTAAGTCTGAGTCGTAGTCGAAACTCATTTGATCCACATACTTAGGTTGCATTGTGCGAAGAGCGTGTCACTTCCCGAGACCTCATCTTCGGTCACGTTTATGGTCATCACAGGGCGAGTAGCGAAGGCACGTTGCTTCGAGGCATCCTATTTGAAATGGCCTCCGCCTTGGTTATAGAGTTTAAGAAGCTGTTAGACAAAGATCTAGCTGTGGGAAGGTGCTGGATCAGGAGCCTGCCGATCCACTCTTCCAGCTCTCGTAAATGCCTTTGCTTCATGAGGTGCTGCTGAATACCGCATAGATGCATTCGTTGCTCCTCTGAGACACAGAACATGAGCCGGCTTCACTCTATCACACTTGCTCCGGCAGTTCACTCACGAGAGCACCTCAGAAGGAATTGCACGATCAAGTGAAACTCGAGCCCGCCTTCGGGTTGAGCCTCACATGAGGGCTGGACAGTTGATAGAGAACCTTATCCGGCGCAGCACAACACATTGCCCGAGAACGTGGCCGGACGGCAGGAACTGGGGAAAGGACGGTGCAACATTCCCAGCGATAGCAGCAATGGCAAGAGGGATGTCCAGTTGGCGATGCTGGATGGTTCGAGAGCACTAGATATTCCGCCCGATCACAGGTTGTGTCTAAATCCCTTGCCATGTGACCAGCAGGTCGGTGGTTTGTATTCGAGTCCGACAGCCTCAGACAGCTGGACTCTGTTCGCATGGCCGACCTTCTGGACTGGGACCCTTGAAAGTGAACCTCCTTAGCGACTGACGGCTTAGTGAGGAGGAGCCACATCCCAGACAGTATCGTCTAGCATCGGAAGGCAATCAGCCTTGGAACTCCAATACTGGAACTTCGGTCTTCGGAACGGTAGTTCACAAAGACCTGCTATTAGGCTCACGTTGTGGTCACGTATTCATACATCAACTTAGATGTTGCGGACGCTTGATTCGACATGGATTGTTCCGGTGGCCACCACTCCTGCAACTTATGAAGATGGAGCCCGAATATTGGGTTAGAAATGATCCGAAAGACTCGCGTTCGTAGGACACTTTCACTTTGCAAGTAGTGTTGACGCAATTTTCATCATTTTTTTGTTTAGGGAGACTGATGTGGGCTTACTCGAGGCGGCCCCAGCTCCAGATATTGAGTCCAACCTTCACGCCCTTCATAACAGGCAACCCAGCATGCCATGTCTCTTCATAGCCTCGCCCGCTTCCGTCGGACCGGAAGTTCTCCCAGTACACCGCGTTCCCGGCGATGGGCTTGAATACAGTACCTGCAGTAGACTCAGAATCATCCGCAGATGCGCATTCCACAAACTGGCACCACCTTGCGTCCGCTCTCCGTCGCAGCAGAGGGAACTCAGTGCCGCCCCCGACCAGACTCGCGTCGTCATCATCGACCCATGCCATAAAGCTGCTGACTCTGCCCCAGCCCCCTCGCTCGGGGTTCCAGTCGAAGTGATGGCTATAGTGGCCGCCCGGGCGGTATCGCTGTACGCGAAGGCGCTCGATCCATACCTCCTCACGCCAGCCCTGCAGCGAGCGAGCCCGGGCTTCCACGCACCTCACCGTCGCCGTGCGAGGGATGAGAGCGACTTCCGAGTCACGAACCGTTGGGTCACGGTGGGTGGAGCTGCCAGCGTCATGTGTCACCGTTGAAGGCGTAAAAATTGGTTCGCTTGTGCGGCACTTTCAGCAACGATCTCCTTGATAGGTGTGATAAACAACAGCAATAAGAAAGACGACATATGGTAGGTTGTTCGTTACATCCCTCAAGTAGCGAAAGCGTAGGAGGGCTACAGACGGATAGACCGTTACATACCTGATACCTAAGAGATGTGCTCTGTCCTCAGCAGAGAGGAAACCTTCGACGTAAAGCACCAGAGGCTCTCTAGAGAAGATATGAACCGAATACGCATCTGGAGGGCAGGCTATGCCCGTCGCGTTTACATCATCGTCGTCCTCCAACGCCAGCAGCTCGGTAATGAGTTGCGGTCTCGGCGTGCGTCGAATTTGAGGGACTGCACCGGGTGAAGAAGATATCAGCTGCGAGATTGGATCGTGAAACAGGACGAGAACCGCGACCAAGCCAACAATATAGGAGAACATGACCAATCACGAGAAACCAAGATCTTTTCCCTACAATTGCAGTTCAGCTCTCCCTTTCTAATCTACAACGCAGACTCAAACAGAAACAAAACCCACAATAATCGTCGGCCTTTCATGTCAGCGAACGCGCCTGCCCGTCCGTGCTGTAAGCAGCCGCCAACAGAGGCATCTCCACCGCAATGTACCTTCCGTTTGCGCATCTTAAAGTGAAGGTTCTCTTTCATCATTTCAGTTTTGAAAACCCTTGTCTTTCGTTTTCTATACCCCTTCAATTTGATCTCCTTCTATTCCACAACATCTGTTCTGTGTCGCGCGTTCCATCTAACAACAGAAGGCCAATGTTCAAATGCACCCTTTACAACGGCACAAAAGTTTACGTACGGTGTACCACTTAGCGCCAAATCAATGAGGGTCCTTAACACTAGAAGGCTCGGGAACAACAGAATATTGCTAAGGCAAAATAAGCCCAACCACTCTATCAATAGCATCCGGTATAGTGTAACGGTTAACATATCGCGTTTTCATGACCTTCCCTGGTCTAAGATCCGCGGGGCTCGGGGTTCGATTCCCCGTACCGGAGAACATGACGAACGAGATCAATTTTTTTGACCCCTTTCATCGTCGCCGTTTTCCAAGGCGGGGTCTGTATTGTTATTCTACGAGATGAATAGTCTGCTTTCTGGTTTCTTTTGACCCTTCTTGTTGGTCAATGGTGGATCTTGATTGGCAAATCAAGCGGTTCTGGTAAAGTCTCTGGAAAATATCAATAACAACCACGAAGGCCATTACAAATGATTAGAGTGGCCGACAGACAGGATTGTGCAGATGCTTCTGCTACCGCTGGACTTGCTGCAATGGTCAAACCAAAGCTGTGAAGTCTCTGTCCCTCTTCCTGCATGTGGCCACAATCTGCTACAAATCAATCAATGAATGAGGCATGTTCACTATTCGTCTATTTGTGATCTCGGTTGTGGCGACAAAGGGATGTCGAGGAGGCCTAGTACCAGGTAAGTATCAGAATGCTGCGACTATGCGCAAAGGAGGGTTGTAGGTCGCACCCTATCAAGCAGCTCGTTCCAACGTCGCGGCCAGCTGCAAGAGAGGAAGGGAAGGCCCCTGGGGTCTGCCAAGAACAGAGAGGAAGAATGGGGACTGAGCGAGTTGATGACATGAAGCTATCCAGACGATTGCGGGGAAGCGGAATCGACACCGTCTAGACAAGGACATAAGCTAAAGGTTGCGCGTCTACCGTTGTTCCCAGCTCTCAGGTCGAAGTGGATGTTGCTTCTCCCAGACCATGAAGACACGACAGTCAAGGTCAATCCTTCCACCCAGCAACCAAGATTCGTTCCATCGGTTCAATCAAATTGAAAATACCTCTCTTCACTGAGCTCCGTTTAGCCATCCGCTGCAGCCTGCTCCCGGGGCACCCATGCCAATATGAACCCGGGGATCAATCTCGCAACGGCCATGACTTACGATGCAACACAGTCAAATCTAACAAACACTAGCTAACCATGTAGATTGACGGCGCGAAGTCCTACACCGCCAAGATCATCTCAAGCATGACCATCGCCTTCACCAAGGACAGCCAACCTCCAACTGCGATAGGTAACAGAGACTCAGAGCTGTGTAAGTTAGTCTCCAAGCTGGCAGGCGTCAAATCGTCGTGCTAATGGTCACAGCCAGTGGCGGGCATCAGCCAGGGCCAGAGTCAGGAACACATGCCCGGTAGTCAGCATCATTGATCCGTGGATTCTAATATAGATAGGTTTCATGGTTTAGTGATACTGTCCCAACCACACCACGAGTTCCGCACACTCAACGGTGAGATTATCACGGAGATATCGCCCGGTATCAACCATGGCCTAGGGCATACATTGTCCGGAAACGTGTCACTTGCTCAATCCAGATCGTCGGCACCACACATGTTCGTGTCGTTAATCGAGCCTCGTGAACATGGGACATCCAACATGCACGATGAAGTAGGACCCCCAAGTTGGGATGACGAGATTGGGGGGAGAGACCTTAGGCACACCGTAGCAGTCTGTTCTCAGCGCTCGACAGCGCCGTCATCCACTAGGATGTCTCATGGATGCAGTTCCAGAACTTCTTCTACAGGGCAGACTTCCGACTGCTTCATCCTAGCCAATCCGTATGGAAGTACCACTTCGTACCGAGCATATCACCCACTAATCGTACCGCCTTGTACATGCGAGTACCTGCGCCAGATCCTTGCCAGAAGTGGACTGCGAGTCTGGAAAAAAAAGTAGAGCAGTCTGTCATCAACAGGACGAGCTCGGGGCGTGGCGCAAAAGCTTGTATCTTTTGGAGCACCCAGGCATCAGCTTGCCTCGGACCCGAAAGAGCAAGACGCCCGCTGTGAGTGGCAATGGCAAGGGGCCGTGGAGATGTCTTCCGACAGAGATGTGCGATAAACAATGGCGACTACGGGCAATGCCTCCGCAGATCGTGGGTCATGCGAGTGAGATGGAGGGTATCTGACAGAAAACATCTTGGTGTCAGGATACCGCAGTGCCGCAGGTATGCGCTTGAAGCCACGCCAGCCGTACGGTAGCCACCGCCACAAAGTCGACTGAATAGCATGTGACTCTGTTGAGAAGGTTATCGGGCGACTCTGGCGAGCAAGTGTAGGACCCCTAGCTGACGGATTGCGATCTCACGGAAACGGAAAGCTGTGATCTGCGGAGTACCTAGTCGCACCCGTCGCCGCTCGTGGGGAACATGCACCGCCAAGACCTTGATTTGGCAGGAGCCGCGCCCTCTAGAAGGGGCTCATGGGATCACTAAAGAGCGCTGCGGCGGTCAGGGAGGGGGGTGGGGCGGCTTCCATGGAGAAGCAAAGATCCAAAGTGGGCGGCGGGTGGCTGCTCGATGTACTAGTCTCCAGTAAACAGCTTCGGGACGACTTCCGTCGGTCAAATCACATGAGCCAAGCGGGTTGTCTGAGTTTGATCGTGCATCTCAGCTTCATTGTTGGGACCAGCACTGTGGTCTGATGTTCGACAGCGGCTACCATTTGTGAAGGATAAGATGGTGTTCATGCTTCCGCAGTTGCATCGCATGCAAGACATCAATGCAAAGTGCCTGATCTAAGGCTTGATCACGATGTCTTCTACACGATTATGACCTTCTCCATGGGATGATACTACGTAGAACTCTGCATAGAATCTTCTGAAATTGTATCCGTGACTGAGGATACCGTAAAAACAGGAATGCCTCGTCTGGGTCAGCGACATCTTATTCTCAGACCCGATAATCTTGCCCGCAGGCATAAAATGTAGAAGCCCATCCTTACGTTTAGTTGATACCGAGGTCGTCGCAGGGAAGTCACAAGATTATGAGTGACCCCAGTATTCCGTGTGTGATGTGGGTGTGAAGGAATGATTCAGGGATCAAGTGAAGTCAAAAGAAAGGGGCCGGCACCGAGTTCAATTGTTAGTGCGTCTTGGCATCCCGCATCCGAGCCCGGAAAATGCGGGAAGTCCCACTCAGCCAAACCGATCTAGGCTGTGCAATTCCCGACCACCGATGGCGGATAAGTAGAAACTCTATTGTGCCTGCAGCGTCGTCACTCACTATAAGCTTTCTAATTCAATGACCCATAAGGAAATGCCGTCAAGTGAGCAGGCGGCCTCTGCCCCTCGTGTTCATAGTTTTCTGCGGAGAGAAGAGTCGACAGCCTCGGGCCGGTTCATCTGGATCTCACTTTGCAAGGGAAAGATACCCCTACCCAATGTTCAAGCAATGGTGCCAGATGCAAGAAGTTTTGCCAGTACTTCTCCGATTTCCCATGAGTGGGCTATCTTGTCTACCACATATTGCACGGCCCTATTCTCTCACGAGTTCATGTCTGCAGCCGTAAGTCGGAGGCGCAGCGACAGATCACGACAGGACTGGGCGTTTCAAGGTCTCTTTGGTGACTAGGAGTAGGCAATGTGTTCTCGGCCTTTTCTAGGATGCTTCTAGCATTTGCACCTATGCATACAAGCGTCGCAGGCTTTGACCGGTCTCTTGGCGGGTGCCACGTTTTTTGGTGTGGTCGGTGGTAGTGATCTCAAGATCCAGATCGCGTTGTACTGCCGACACGTCTCATGCTCAGACGTCCGAATATGGACAGTTATGTCTCCGTCGCTGACGACTGGAGCTGGCGGCCTGCATGTCTGACCACACAGGTTCGGGACCGGGCGAAACCTCCGGACAGAGGACGTGCCTGCATTTGGCACCCAGTGTCGTCCAATGTGGGCGCCTTCTCGGCGGCGACAATGGAAGCCCAAGTGTCTTCTCGCTGTTGTCTTTGCACACGAACACGGTCTCGCAATGCCGTTTCTTCATGTCGATTAAAGTGGCACAGATCTCTCATCTTGATTGTCTTGGATCGGCACAACACCCGGGCTGCATGTCTTGGTGACCTGTTCCCTTGTTAGCTCACCCCCTTTCGGACCCGTGTCTCGCAGGGTTCTCCCACTGCCAGGCTGTTCGTCCTCTGGACGTGTCCTCTGACCGTGAAGTGGCGGTATGTAGACTCGTCGTCATCACGGAATTATCTGCTCACTTGCCATTTGATCTGGGCGGGTGCCAGGAGCTCACTTTCAACGTCACGGAAGGACGTCGTGTCATGTGTGTTCTTCAGCTCCCCGGTACATTCGGTCACGGTAGACACATGCCATGCCAAATGCTTGGATCCTAAAGTGGGAATTAAGGGCGTTCTGCGTTGAATTCGGTTCCGAAAGCATGGTAACGTGGCGATATCAACGCATCAGTAAGGATTATGCTTTTAACAGCGAAACCTTGGACTCAGTGGACTCATCATCAATATTTCCTCCTTCACGGAACGAGTTCTTGGCTCGACAGCCCGCACCCTGACCGCCTCTCTCGTTGCGTTCCTCTCTTGATTCTGTGGCGTAAGTTGTGTATCGCCTTGATCTCGTTGCGTAACCCGGGATGTGGCATGGAGGAAACCCTGGAGACCTGAGGTACATAACCATCAACGTTCTGGGAGGCGGAACTTCCCTTGGTGGCCCAAGAGGGCTATGGATCAAAGCCCTATCTGACAGCTGTGTAAGGATGAACCATGACGAGTACCAACTGCCTGTATGGCGACAGAAACACAATGCAAGCAACTCGTCACACCAGCGCGGAAGATCAGCCCGTAGACAGTGGCGCCACTGTCCTCTTCATCTATGCATGTCTCGAATCGGATCGCACTTAGCGTTGGATGATGTGGTGGTCTCTCTGCAGTGGCGGAGTAGGGATGTCTGGGGCAGTACCAGGAGCCGGCACTTCTCCATCTTGCTATCGAAGGACGACGAGATGCTCCACGAAGGTCGACCTATGGTGTTCCGATGTCCTACTACGGTCTCCGCAGTACGGAGACGGTTACAACTGGTTCAGGGCACAAGACAGATGTCTCGTGAGGTGTTTAGGTTCGTACTAGGCTCAGACATATGCATGGGCACCGGATATGTTCAATGAAGGTGGCGCAAATAGATGAGTGGTTGTGGCCTTGTTCTTCGCAGTGGCTGTGATGCCGCAGCTACTCTACCCACAGCTGTCAAC